CCCCCAGCCCACCCCCCATTCCCACCTCCTCCAGATCAAGGTCTCCCCCGAGGACCGGGGTCGACCTGGTAGACTCAGTCCAGGCAGGTCCAGATGGTTTCAGCTGGTTCAGCTTTGCTGTTGCAGGATGGCTAGGTTCTGGTGATGCTGTATTGTTCTCTATGTTTTTGTATTTATTTTTGCATTGACGTCTGCCCTTCTCCTCCTCTAATAGGTATAAGAGGTACCTGTGTCTGAGCTAGTTGCTATTGGTCCACTCTGTGCTTGTTGTGTTTGTGTCTCAGGGGGCCCCTCTTGGTCCAATCTTAGCTCTGGGTGTAATTGGAGCTGGCAGATTCTGTATCTCAGGGACCTGCTCTTGGTTCAACCCAAGCTAGTTGATTCTGTGACTCATGAAGCCTCTCTTGGTCTTATCAGGGCTCTTGGTCAAGTCAGAGCTTATAGATTCTGTGTCTCAGGAAGCTTCCCTTGGTCCAATGAGAGGTGGCAGATTCTATGTCTCAGAAAGCCACTCTTGGTTTAATGAGGGCTGGTGGATTCCCTATCTCAGGCAGTTACTCTTAGTTCAATGAGAGCTGCTGATTTGGTTTCCCTGACTCAGGAAGTTACTATCCATTCAATGTCAGCTGATGGTTTAGTTTCTGTGCCTCAGAAAGTTACTGGGGTTACAGGCAGATGGGTATTGGGGCAGGGCATGGAGCTTGTAGATTGCAGGGTCCTAGGGGTTTTGGTGGTAGGGCCTCTTGCAGTTTTCCCTGCTGGCTGACAACTGGGGCAGAGTTGTTTGGAGGTTTCCATGGACTAGCTGTCTTCCAGAGCCTGGGTCCTAGAGGCAGGACTCTCTGGGTGTGAGAAGAATTGCTCACCTCTTGATCCAATGAGAGCTGACAGTTTGTTTTCTGTGCCTCAGGAAGTTACTGGAGTCACATGCGGATGGGTATTGGGGCAGGGCTTTTAGATTGCAGGTCTGATGCGGGGGGTTTTGTGGAAAGGGCTTTTCACAGGAGTTTCCCCTCTTGGTCCAATAAGAGCTGGCAGATTGATTTCTGTGCCTCAGGATGTTACTCTTGGTACAATGAGAGCTGGAGTTTTGGTTTCTGTGCTTCAGGAAGTTCCTGAGGTCACAAGCAGATGTGTATTGGAGCAGGGCATGGAACTTGTGAATTGCAGGGTCTGATGAGGGGTTTTGGTCCCACTTTGAGCTTTGTATCCAATAGAAAGACTATAAACAAAAACAATCTGTTTAGTAAAATCTTTTATGCAGTGTAATAGTAAAATGTTAGATATTGAGACTCATCAGGCACAGAACTGCAGGCTTTCAGATTAACCTCCCCCAAACATGGGGATGATCATACTCTTCTAGCATTAAGAGACATCACCTGGTATATAAAAATTGAAATTATACCAGTCATATCCTTGCATATGCATGGCTTCCCTTTATATCTGCAAGAACCCTTACACATGGGCCAGTCACAAGCTTCACATGAGAAACAATCACAGTATTGTAATGGTTTCCCATTTTTGATGATCTAATCTTCATGGTGATTCACTAGGAGTGGTCATCTTTTTCTCTTATATATTTTCTCTTATATAAAGGACAAGTATGATATAGAAAAGCTAAAAGAAGCTCTTGCAGTCTGCAGGAGCAGCCGAAGGCAGTGTCATCAGAAGATTAAAACTGAAGGAATTTTTCTTACGATTTTGTTTTACTGATGTAATAGGGTCTCCTGCAAAGGAATTCTATGCTGTCACTTGTAGCCATACTTTGGCAGTGTCTTTTCAAGCTGAAATGATTTTGTTAAGGTGTCTATGTTATCTGTTAGCATGTAAGTGCTGAGAACTAGACCTGGGTCCATTGCAAGAAATACACATTCTCTAAACCATTGACCTGTCTCTCCAGAACACCCCCCCCCCCCCCGCACAATCATCTCTAATCTCACTGATATGGACTTGCCTTGGGAGACAATTACCTTGGGGTTACAAAGAAGTCAATGTAATTTACTTGTAGAACAAAA